CAACCATGTTCATTGCAGAATTATTTACCTTAGCTAAGATATGCAACCAACCCAGATGCCCATCAAGAAAATGTGGTATATATACACTATGGAATTCTATGCTTCCATCAGAAAGTATGATATCATCCCATTTGGAAGGAAATGGAGAGACTTGGAAAAATCGTATTAGGTAAAGTAAGCCAGACCCAAAGAAATATAGGCTCCAGGTTGCCCTTATTTGTAGTAATTAGTGTATGTCCAGGATAGTCCTAGCAGAGGATCACAATAGCTCTAAAGCTAAGTGCATAGCACCATATAAAATAATGCTAGCTGAAATGAACTCCAACATATGGAAATAGGAGTTTTATTTTTTTACTCTATGTATAAACTGGCTACTGGTGGCTCACACTTCTAAATCTAGCTATTTAGGCTGTTGAGATCTGAGGATCATAGCCAGCCCAGGCAGGAAAGTCTATGAGACTCTTATCTCCAATTACACACTAGAAAACCAGAAGTGGTACTATGGCTCAAGTAGTAGAGCACTAGCCTTGAGCTTAAGAGCTGAGGGACAGAGCCCAGGTCCAGAGTTCAAGCTCCAAGACCGACCAAAGAAAAGTTATTTCTGTTTTCTTTTGCTTTTTTCCCTTTGCTTTTTAATATTTTTATTGCCAAAGTTATGCACAGAGGGGTTACAGTTACATAAGTAAGGTAACAAGTACATTTCTTTTCAAACTTGTTATCCACTCCCCATTTTCCTCGTACTTTTCCTCCTCCCCATCCCCCTTAAGTTGTACAGATCATTTCCAACATATTGTCTTGCTAGTATCACTGTTGCATTGGTTCCCCCCTTATCCTTTGTCTCACCATTCTGTTGTTCACCTTCCCTTCCCTAATTCAGTGACAACAGGGTATAAACCATAGGGGTAAGAACACACAAAAGAAATAAGGAATCACATACAACAACAACATGTGTCTATGACTTGGGGTTCATTCACTTAGCATCATCTTATACAGTCATATTTAGATACCTACTGAGCAATTCTGCTCATATGCTAAGATTATCCTAAACATATACTAATTATTTCAAATAAGGGAAATCATGGAAAGCAGCATGGAGGTTCCTTAAAAGACTACAGATAGAGTTCTCCTATGACTCAGCAATCCCTCTTCTGGGCATTTAACCAAATGATCACAAACAAGGCCATACTAAAGCTACCAGTAAAAATATGTTTATCATAGCATTATTCACTATAACTAAGATGTGGAACCTACCCAGATACCAATTAGTAGATGAATGGATCAAGAAAATGTGATATATATATATATATATATATATGAATATGAAATTTATGTTTCCATCAGAAACATTCACATCACCTCATTTGTAAGGAAATGGAAGATCTTGGAAAAAATCATATTAAGTGAAGTAAGCCAGACCCAAAGAAACATAGGTCCCATGGTTTCTCTTTGATTTATCTCTTCTTGTCACTGTTTTTGATTTTGGTATGCTGTATATATATATATATATATATGTTTATATATATATGTTTATCTGATTTGGGGAAGAGAAAGGAAATCACAAAATTGTGAGACATATAAAAATGGGTGAAGAGTGATACTCAGAAGACATTATGTTTGAAATGGGGGGAAGGAGAATAGAGGGGGAGGAAAGTGGGAAAAAATGAGGGAGGGGGTAACACTGTTTGACAAGAAATGTACTCAATACCTTGTTTATATAATTGTAAGCTCTCTGTAATCACCTTTACATTAAAATAAAATAAACTTTAAAATAAATGTATGTTACCCAATCAGTGTAGATTCACTATAGTGAAACAACAAGGTCGTTTACATAAGAAGAGAAGCTGAGGGAGAGAAGTTGAGAAATTTTCACTGACTCTAAGTATAGCTTAAGTAAAAAAAAAATCTTTGAGAAAAGAATTTCATCTCACCTGCAGCTCTTTCACATAGGGCTCTTTGTAAGTAAGAAAAATGGTTTCCTAAATGGCTGCAGGACAAAGGGGTTTCATGCTAGGATGCATGTTCTTCAATAGGAAACCTGAACTAGACCTGGAAAAACACTATCACTACAGACCTCTTTTGCTTTTGATTTCATTCTTGCTTTCATTCCCTCCCTAGTTCTCCCAAGATGTTACAGGTTGCCTTTCCTCTATGTTTTCAACATTCATACTCAACTAGCTTTCTCAATACAGCTGTCTTCCACACAATCATAATGGCTGCTGGTGCAATTTGTTAACTCAGAATCTGTCCTGTATGGTCTACTTTTTTCCATCCAGGTTCAAATTGTTAAGAAAGTACATTTGATTGAGCTTATCTCAATCTTAGTGGAGCCTACAGACTGGTCAAAAATGTAACATATCCATTGACATGTAAGGCACACAACACCTTACTTAACAATCTAAGTAAGAAGGGAGTATCAATAATAATTGCATGTGTCAAGGCAGGAAGCAATAAGAGGACTGGTTGTTAACATAGTTTGAAAGTGAGGACACAGAAGAGGGAGAATCACAGAGAACTTATGCTTTGAAGTCACTGTATGATTTCATTCACTACATGGCGCTGCTCAGACTTGGAAACTTGTGTAGTACAGTTAACAAATAGAAAAGACCTCTGACTTATGAGAAATAAATAAGACCATTATAGGTTAAACACACACAGGAAGAAAGATTGTCCTTTACACAGAGGTCAAAGGAAAGAAGCAAGAAACTGGAGGACACAGAGAAGAGGAAGGAGGAGAAGACAGGAAAGTTGGATTACCTCCAGTGATTTGCCTGATCTGACCGTATTCTATGAAAGAAAAACTGCATTATCTTTGGCAATTTGGATCTACAAGAGAGCCAGGTTGAGTGAGATCTCTAAATATTTCAAAATCTTGAAAATAATGATATTAAATATAGGAATGACAGTAACAATGGTAGCACTAGGGCCAGACACGAGTCCTTTATACATGTACCAATCCACTTGCACTTTATATTAAGCTTAAGAATTTTTATTATTACTCATTTAGAAGAAAAGAAACTGAGACAGAGAGAATTTCAGTAACTTTTAAGTGTTGTAAAATTAGCAAGCAATAGAGGTAGAGTTGATAAACTAACATTTTACAGTAGAAAATACATTATTTGTGATCACTCTAAATAAAATAATAATTGTCACTTTTTTCTCTTAAATATTCTGAAAATGTGAAAGAAATAATTGGAAGATAAGAAACAACCTGAAATAGGATATCTTATTAATAATGGAATGATAAATAAATGCTTCTGTTAATGTGTATCCAAGTCCTGGGACTTGAATGAAGGGCCTGTGCTGTCCTTAATTTTTTTGCTTAAGAGTAGAACTTTACTACTTGAACCACAGATTCACTTGGAGCTTCTTCTGGTAGTTAATTGAATAAGGGTCACATGGTTTGTCTTTGAATAGTGATTCTCAGATTTCAGCCTCCAGAGGAGCTGGGAGGCTGAAATTTGAGGATCACCATTCTGAGTAGCTAGAATTACAGGCAGGAGCTACTGGCACCCAATAATAAATGCTTTAAAAAATAAAAATCTGGTATCTCAATGTTGTTTTGATTTGCATTTCTTTTATGGCTAGGGAGGTTGAGCATTTCTTCATGTGTCTATTGGCCATCCTTTCCTCTTCAGAGATCTCACCCAGTTAGAATGGCTGTACTCAAGAACTCTAATAACAACAGTTGCTGGAGGGGATGTGGACAGAAGGGAATCTTCTTGGTTGTGGAGTGTAAAATTGTTCAGCCACTTTGGAAAGCAGTATGGAGGTTCCTCAAAAGACTCCACATAGAGATCCTCTATGACCCAGCAATGCCACTTTTGGGCATTTACCCAAATGATCACAAACAAGACCATACTAAAGCTACCAGCACGACTATGTTTATTGCAGCATTATTTACCATAGTTAAGATATGGAACCAACCCAGATGCCTCTCAGTAGATGAATGGATCAAAAAAATGTGGTATATATACACAATGGAATTTTATGCCTCCATTAGAAAGAATGACATTGCCAATTTGTTAGGGTATGGAAAGACTTTGAAAAAATTATAAGTGAAGTAAGCCAGGCCCAAAGAAACATAGGTCCCATGGTTTCCCTTATTTGCAATAAACAGTATATGTATGAGACAAGCAGAAAAGGTCAGATAAGTTGATGTTAGGTGAAATGAACCTCAAGATAAGGACTCAAATGGTTTTTCCTTCTTGGTATTGTGTCTAACACATTTCTTTGCTGCTTTGTATGTCCCTCGCCCACAGTATAACCCCTGTTTTCACTGTTTTTGATGTTGGTATAATTTGTGGAGGGGAAGGGAAAAAACAAATTGTTTAAATAGGGATACAGGTGGACCTATTGCAACAATAGGAAGTACAATACTTTATGTCGAAAGTGAACTTTACAACTTTGGCATGGGGAGGGGGGGAGGGGAGAAGGAGAGGGGGAAGGGGTGGAAGGGATGGTAAGGAGAAACAAAGGAAAAGGCAACAATGCTTGATAAGAAATGCACTCATTATCTTGCCCATGTAATTGTGACCCCTCTGTACAGTATTTTCACAATAATGAATAAAAGTAAAAAATTTAAAAAAATTAAAAATCTGGGAGAAAAATGTTCTTTACAATTATGGCAAAAATAGAATTCTAGTTTGATTTATTATTTATAAAATATCTATACATAGATACATATAACTAAGATTCTTGTAATATACACACATATAAAATACTGCTTTCTAAAAAATTTTATACATAAGTATAGATATATAAATATAGTCTATGTATGTATACATGTATGTATACCCACACACATTAAAAATAATCCTTTCTGAAAAAAAAATCTTAGTGTAACGTTTCCTTCATCTGTTTCCTCCATTGGGAAAAGAAAAAGTGCTTTTGAAGAGTTTGGCAAATTTAAACTAAATAGAGACAAAGTTGCCGTGACCTAACAGGAAGCTAGGGTTTTTCCAAGTGCTGTGATCTCTGTAACAAGCTCCAGGGCTCCCTCTTTCCTGTGATACACAGAGAGACTGGACTGCAAACCGTCAAAATCCTTACCTCGCCCTTCCACTGGGAGCAGGGTCAGGTTGCATTTCTTTCAGTTTTCCTCACTCCTCATTTTCTTGATGTGTCTAAAAGAAGAGGCGGAGAACAAAAGTCCTGTTTCAACACCTGGAAGAGAAAACAAAATAACTTCACGTCTATTCTGAAAAAAAAAAAAATCTCTCCGTGCAAGAACTTTCTTCAGAGATTTTACTTGTGAGTATTTGGGAATGTACTGTTTAGTCCATGAGAAATAGTTTTTATTTCTCTTATTTTGGACAAAGCTGCTAAACACAGACAGAAGACTTACTATCTCTTCTCCTAAAATGAAAATCAGCTCTTCCTTATAAACAAAGTAGGCTCCGTTACCATGCAAAATTTACTACTCTGCATTTTGCATTTAGTTCTTAAGCAAATGTCTGAGGAGTATTATTGCTTTTAGGACCATAAAAAATTGTTCTATACAGTGGGTAAGATGTAGCCGTTTTTTGCTTTAAAATTGTAGTAGAGTTTGTTACCAGTGTCTAATTAATTGGAAAGCTTGAATTATCTTTAAGTTTGTGCATTAATATGTTAAAGAAAACATAATAGAAGTCTATCAGTCTTCTGTTTAAAGCAATTTCTTACATTTTTGGGTTAGCTGATGATGTTTAAAATGCAACAAAACGTGAGAATTCTTGTAGGGGAGGGATGGGTGAGAATGTTGAAAGGGGTGACCTTTGAACAAGACATATTGTATTCAGAAACTGTTTTGTTAAATGACAACTATTGGATAAAACTACTTAAAGATCATTTAAAACACTATTTATTTTGATGTCAGCATTAACTAATTGCCTAAGAAAAATAGCTTGTAAAGTAGTTTTAAATATGAAACCTTAGGATTTGAATATTCAAAATTGTGAATATTTTGAAATTTTGAGAATAAAAACAGTAGATTATATATCAGCATCATGAAATGGTATGTAACATGAAACATTGCTTCTGGTAATCAGAAAAACACATAGTATAAGAGTAACAATGGAATAATGCAACATGTACTTATCTAATTATGAAGAATACTCATCTGTATGAAAGAATTAGTACTAAGAAATGAGAGCCAAAGCTGTTCTATATGAGAAAAAAAGAAAAGATAACAGCTACACTGTGACTCAGACCACTGGAAATTAGTCACAAAATGACTTTGTGTAATATGAGATAACATAAACACAAAGGGCAGAAGACAAGCAGGAAGCTCACAGCCAGTGAGTCACATGTTACGTGTAAAGACAGAATTTATGTCAGAGGGGAATAGTTGGGGCCACATGGAGATACTCAAAAAGATATTTTTACATGATTCATTTTGTATGTGATTATTTCAAGGCACTTTATTCATATCTGACCTGATCCCTATGGTATGGTCTCTTTGGAAACTAATTTTGAGTCCTGTTAATTTGGAGTCCCTGGTAAATAAAATGATGTAAAGTATTAACAGGTTGAAGGTGTTAATGGCTTACACAAAAACATAAAATGTAAAACTTTAAAAATATTTTGAAGTATTTGATTAATTATGTTGGGAAGTCATAAAATTGTCTTATTCAGGTGATCATGGAGCATTGGAAAAGTTAAATGGCATGCATGCTACTATTTAGTTCTTCTCATTACATATACCAAACTGGTCATGTACATGTTTTACTTTGTTTTCATAACAGAAATGTTTTTCTTCCCTAAGAAATGATTTTTATTTGTTTCATCTATTATTATCTTATGTAGTTGTACAAAGGGGTTGCCACTTAACAAGGCAGTTTATAAATACAGTGCATTTTGATCAGTGTTCCTCCTTCCAACATTCTCATCTTCTGCCTGCCCTTTCCCTCACTCTTCTGGATTTTGTAGGAGATACACTGGATGATTGACTGCACTGTCCCTCCTCCTCCTCTTCATTCATCTGCCCCTTCCCTCTTGGCCCTATTCCATCTCTTTCCTGTACCCACTTTCTGGTGTTTTATTTTGTTGAAACTTGATTTTAATTTTAGCAATTTACATTATTCAAATTCAAAAGGTAAGTGCTTAGAATAATGAATGACTGGAGAAAAAAGGCCAATCTCAAAAGGCTGAATCTGTTTTCAGAATGCCTAGCAATTTAAGTTAGCAGTAAATGTACTAAAAAAATTTTAGGATTAATTGGTTAATTAAATTCAGTGTTGCAAACTTTGTACAGTGATTCCATGTTATATTCCTACCCAATACAAGGGGAAGTAAAAGTAAATACCCTTTACAAATATCCAAAGTAGAGTCAAGATGAAATGTGAAGTAATCTGAATATGAGTTTCAAAACAAAAACACTTACTACAAATTAGGCAAATGGATTGTTAGTATAAATTAAAATGCCTTTATTTTATCTGCAATTTGTTTCTAGTCTATAGACATGGTTTGTGAATTTCACTACAATGAATCATCTAATCTCAATAAAGGCCTTCTCCAGTCAGCCACCAAGTCTTTATTTGCCATTATAGCTTTCGTCTATTTGAGGACTCGCACTTTTGACATGCCTTTTGAAATGGTAAAAGTATTTTAAAATATATTAGTGTCAAAGGAAGTTCTGTTACCCTTATAGAAATATAAGAACATTAGAATTCTTTTTGTTACTAGGTCCCTTAGGAAACATCTGAATTAGCAAGCCTATTGAAGTCCTTGTTTCTAGATATCCAATTTCGCTCAAGTGAGGAAAGATCGTTATGGGGTTTTTTAACAAGATTTTTTTCATGAAGACCATCTTTCTTGACTCTGATTCTCAATGACTGATACAATGTATCAACTCTAGGGATATATTATCCTTCTCTTCCTATTTTCACTTCCTCAAGTGTCAAGTACCAAGTAGAACTAGTGCTTAGGAGTTCACTACAAAAGACTGAGTACATCTATTCACAGAGATAAATAAACTTTCCTTCTTTGCCAAACCAAGGAAACTTCAGTTTTCTGCTCTCTTTAGTTCTGTCTTTGTGAGGCCATAAGTTCTTAGTTTGAACAAATACATATTTAAGTCATAATCTTTTTTTTTTTACAAAAAGGATAACAAGACATCATGTTCCACAGTAGAAATCCCAGTACAGCAGTAAAACTATGCCAGTTGTTTTTATTTGGTAGATCATGAGTCTCTGAGGAGATGTGGGATTGTGGCAAAAAAATACAACTCTGTGATGAAAAATAGTGTATGCTTTTGTTAGGGAATATAAAGTAAGTCTACTTTATCATAAGGAAAGTGAGTGTGCCTGTCAGTAGGACACGTATACTATGGAAGTAATGCTTTTATTACCTTACATAGTGTACCACTGTTACCCTTGAACAGTACTACATGCTCAGCACCCCCACAAAACCAACCTAATTCAAGCTGTCTGTCTATTCTTGACCAACTATCTCTGTCAGAACTTTGAATTACATAACACCTCACTTCACATCAGCTCATTCCTCATTTTCCAAGATTTAAACAGAGAAATTACAGAAATGACATAAATTGGTTGTGAATATTTTCACATTTTCATGTCTCTTTAGAAAGCTAAAGTCACAGATATTTCCACCTCAGAAAATAAATCAAAACAGTTATTTTAAAATGGTATATCTATACTTGCCCTTTTTATGTCAATGATTTTGAATATATCTAAATGCAAAAGGAAAGGAACACTTCCAGAATTCTATTTCAATGAAAACTAACTAGGATGCTAAAGTCATTTCACAACTTTCAAATGCTTCATTTATGACTTGTAGTCTGTCTTTCCTCTGGGTTTCAATTTGCATAGTTTCTATCATTCTCCAAGTTTACTGACCTTTTCTCTTACTGTGCATAATTGGTTTATAATACCATCTAATATATTTTTTATTTTACCTACTATTGTCTCCATCTTCAGAAATCTGGTTTGGTTCCTTATGTTCTGAATTTTTAATATTTGTCTCTAGCTTTTTGAACATATACAATATAGTTAAAATTGCTTTTATATTCTTCTTTATTATCTTTATTTTCTACGTCATTTTGCCTTTCTTCATTATGGGTTATACATTACTGTTTTTAAATGCTTTGTAATTTGTATGTGGATACCTAATATTGTGTTTTACATTGTTGGATGCTGGATACATTGTATTTATGTGATTTTTTAAATCTCTGTTCTGGATTGTGATTTAATTGCTTAGAAAATTTGTTATTTTTTAGTCTTGCTGTTGAGTTTTATTGAGCAGGAATAAGCCAGTGTTTATTCTGTGGTTAATTTTTCCCCATTGCTGAAACAATCTTTTGAGTACTCTACTTGATACTCTATTAATTGCAATGTTTTGCAACTTAGGGTGAAGAAATAGTTCCAGCTTTATGTGTTTTCTCTGTTTTGTTTTCTCTAATGCATCTCTGTATAACTCTCTCTAACCTCCAATACTCTGCCTTCCAATACACTTGGGTTTGTCTCCCGAATTCAGGATCCAAGTTGCCCATTAAAGAAGAGATTCTTTTCAAACACAATTCAGAGCTAATGTAGGACACAGGACTGTACTCTTGTTCTCTAACTGTATGGTCAATACTATTTCATGGATTTTTTTTTCCCCAGGGAGCAAAATAAATCTAGTCTATTGATCTATTTTGACTGGGAATAGGATTATTATTTACATTTTATCAATATATTAAAACTAAGTATAAATTAAAAGAGAAGTTTTAAGAACACAGACTATAATAGATTCAAATGTCTGGTTGACCTAACACAATTATGGGCTGTTATATCTCATAAATTATGAAGAGAATGCCTACACATATGTTTACACAAAGAAGCACTTAAATTCACTGTTTCTACAAAGATTATTTCTGTTATTAAACATAATTTTATTTTATTATAAAGGTAATATACAGAGAGGTTCCAATATATAAGTACATTTCTTTTTGGACAGTGTCACTCTTTCCATAGCTCTCTCCCAGTCAAAATAGTGACTTTATCTCAGATAAACAATTTGTTCATTTCTTTCTGATAATGGTTGTATACAAACAATACTTCACTCTGCTATTTTAGATGACAAATGAGTTCCAAATGCCTAAAATCAATCTAGCTGTCACTAGTTCATCGAGCACTTCTATTATTGCTCTTGATAACTTGTTAGGCACTTCCACATAGGGAACCCCTAGTAAACTAAACACAAATCAAAACTTTTTCCTTTTGTGAAAGGAAGTATGGTTTCAGATGTCTCCAGATCAATTACTTATACCAAAT